CCCCCGCCACCCCAGCTTACCTTGTGTGCTGATACACCGGCCCGCCCCTGCTTCTTTTCAGACTTCCCGCGAATCTCTGATTCGCGGGAAGCAGGGGAGGGGGCGGAGCGTGCAGGGGAGGGGAGGAGGGAGAAGTGAGCTGGGGGCGGGGTGGAGAGCTGCAGCGCGGGGCCCTCTTGGCGCGGGGCCCAATTCAGCCGAATCGGCTGAATCGGCCTAAAGCCGGCCCTGAACACAAGTATGTGTTGGGAGGTTAGTGTGAAAGACAGAGTGTGTGTATGTGTATATGAGACACAAAGTGTGTGTGTGTGTGTGAGAGAGTGAGTGAGTGAGTGAGAGAGAGAGAGAGAGACGTGTTGCCCCTTTAACTATGTTGCCCTTTTAAGTAGATTGGCACTCAAAGCAGACAGAGCCGCAGCCACCAACAAGTTCCCTCTGTCCCACTCCTGAGCCCTGTTGCATCTCCCCCCCCCCACTGCTCTGCAGAGAGATGGGATACAGGGGCAGGGTGGACAGGGGAAGGGGACACTCTGACATTGGTGCCCCCCTCGTCCGCGCTATGCATAGCAAGCGGGAGGCTCCTGGGAGCAGCTCCAAGGCAGAGGGCAGGAGCAGCGCGGCAGTGCGGGGAAGAGGCACTTGAAGTGCACAGCACTTGATAGCTTGCTGGGCAGCTACACGGGTAGAGTTGCCAACTTTCTAATTGCACCAAACCGAACACCCTAGCCCCACTGCTTCCCCAAGGCCCCACCCCTGCCCTGAGGCCCCGCTCCCTGCCCACTACATTCCCCCTCCCTCAGTGGCTCGCTCTTCCTCACTTTCACTGTGCTGGGGCAGGGAGTTGGGGTGTGGGAAGGGGTGAAGGCTCTAGGCTGGCGGTGCTGGGGATGAGGGGTTTGGGTGCAGGAGGGGGCTCCAGGCTGGGGCTGAGGGATTCAGAGTGTGGGAAGGGGCTGCGGGTTGAGGCAGGGGGTTGGGGTGCAAGGGGGATGAGGGCTCTGGGGTGGGGCTGAGGATGAGGGGTTTAGGGTGTGGGAAGGGGATCTGGGCTGGGGCAGGAGGTTGGGGTACATGGTGGGTGAGGGCTCTGGGCTGGGGGGGACAGGCTCTGGGCTGGGGCCAGGGATGAGGGCATTGGGGTGTAGGAGGGGGCTCTGGGTTTGGGGGGGCTCAGGGCTGGGGTGCAGGCATGTGTGAGGGCTCTGGCCTGGGGCTGGCGATGAGGGCTTTCAGGTGCAGGAGGGGGCTCTGGATTTGGGGGAGGCTTGGGGCTGGGGCAGCGGGTTGGGGTACGGGTTTACCTCGGGTGGCTCCTGGTCGGTGGCACGGGGGGGGGGGGGGGCTAAAGCAGGCTGCCTGCCTGTCTTGGTACTGTGCTGCACGTGCCCTGGAAGCAGCCAGAAGGTCCGGGTCCTAGGT